GAACACACAGCCACGCCGAATTCCTCATCTTCAGCTACATCGTCAACGGCGTCCTCGAACACAAAGACAGCATGGGCAACCTCGAAAACCTCAAGCGCGGCGAAGTCCAATTCACCTCCGCCGGCACCGGCATCCGCCACTCGGAATACAACCGCAACACCGACTCCGAAGTCCACTTCCTCCAGATCTGGGCCAAGCCCAACAAGCGCGGTCTGAAGCCGCATTACGAGACGAAGAAGTTCACCGACGAGGAGAAGACGGATAAGCTGGTTAGGATAATGGAGTCCACGGACAGGTTGGAGAAGAGTAAAGGTGCTATTGGACTGCAGGCTGATCTTAGCATGGATGCGTCGATTTTGAGCCCGGGCAAAAAGGTTGTTCATGAGCTGGTTGCTGAGGGGCCGAGGAAGCTGTTTGCTCATGTTGTTATGGGTGGACGGTCGCAGTCGAAGCAGGGTGGGGCGCAGATTAAGATTGGGGATCAAGTCTTTGGGGAGGGCGATGGCGCGTATATTGAGGGAGTGAGCGGGCCTGGCAAGATTGAGATTGAGAGTGTGGGTGAGAAACCTGCGGAGTTCTTGTTGTTTGACATGGGGCCTCAGAATGCATAAACGGATTTCTAGGATGGTTTCACACGCTGATTTTCAAGATAGTAATGCACATTTAGAGTATCTTGCGTTTGCCATTTCAGCACGCTGCCGTCCATCCAAAATATTCCGCATCCGACATGGTAGGATTTTCGTCGACCTGAGGGAATCCATAGATTTCGTTCTTGAGCCTTCGCTTCAGCTCTTCCAGCACTCGATGATTCCGCTTACTGAAGGTTCCTGGTCTGATTGATGTCGCTAGTGGGACTGTGGGTATCTTGAGTACACAGCTGGTGACCATCACCACGTATACTCCAATGGCTACGCTAGGCTCAGCCTTTATCTTCATGGCTCTTGGATTGAGATGGGATCGTCTGCGTGAAGAAGAGTTTGGAGGGTGGTTATACGCGGGCTGGTGGCCTGGTGGGATCGGAGGTGTAAATCTTCAGCGGCTGACTTTGACTAATCGTTTGATAGCTACGCTGTCTGCCTTTCAAGTCCATGCAATCGGTTTGCTCCCCGTTCGACATCTGATCGAACGCCAGAGTCGTGCTTTCATACATACGATACCAACGCAACGGTTTGGTCCTCTAACCACCTACTTATTGCCAGCACACAAATCCACACCCTGACACGGTGACGCAAACACTAAGTATCTCATCATCTCTAGGTTCAGTGTCCGGCATCCGACCACCTCACCGGTGTCGTCGCTGTATAATCCGGCTCGATAAACACATGCTGTGTCAATGAAGCGTCACTACCAACCGACTCGCTTTCGTCATCAGCGTAATAGCCTGATGAGCTTTCCGAAGGCGTTCTCCTGAGACCAGGTCTTCTATCTCGTGCAAGAACTATACCACAGCCATATATGGCACAGCATAGTGCTGCGATGAGGATGCCTACTAGGACGCCTAGCGCGAAATAGGGAAAGCATGGGGGCATGCTTGGAGGGTGTTGGTTTGGGTTTTGGATTATACCTGTCATGATTCGTGGTTGGTCGAGTGAATGGATAGGGGTGGATTTATGACTGAATAAAGCTATTGGAGAAGCTAATGTAGCGTAGTAGTAGGGCGCTATATATACATATTCCGGCTTGCCATCCACATCATCTGGGTGCGTCAGCTTACCAGACGCGCCTGTTATGCGCACCTAACTCCTCCCCCCAGCGTTTGTTTCCCTCATCAGCTTTGCTTCAACGATCTCAAGGCTTTTTGTCCCATAGTTCTTCCAGTATATCCTTTCTTCTTGTCTTATTCACCGCGTCGTTCGTAAAAGGGTTTCCACATTCGTATCTTGAGTCACTGTGCGATGTTTTCGTTTCCTTACCTTTACCGAGAGCGTCTACTCTGTGGGAGAGGCTCGGAGACTCTTCGTAATGGGATGACGAATCGCTGATGTCTGATCGGACACTGTATCTAGAGCTCGACGGATACGCCGGTCCTGGTATAGTAAGGCGTTGTGCGACGTTATGCGGTGGTGGCTGAGCTTCTTCCTGTATAGATATGGTCTGAGGCACAGTAGGTATCGTGCGCAGGCCATGCTCCTCATCTCTTTTATGGGATCGATGGTGGAGAGATAAGAGTAGCCGGAAGGTAAATATGATCTGAATGAGGAGGACAAGGAGGATGACTAGGCAGATTACTGCGATGCTTTCGATCTCCATGTCGCAATTGTGGAAAGATGAGCAATGGGCATGGTGTTCAGACGAAGGAATGAATGAGAGATGTATCTATCGTGAGCACACGTACGCGCGACGCGTTGTTATGATGATATCGACAGCAGACCAGCCAACGCAGGACGAGATGTCTGGAAAAGAAGTCCATTGCAAATCAAAATCTGAATCACATGATGGCGTCTCAATAGCATAGCGTTGATCACTCCGTCATGTCCCCTAACTCCGCGATTTCCTTGCTTTCTTTCTCTCATAGCCAGCACTTCTCACTGCACACGTCCGTTCCACACAGAATTCAACGAGCTCGCTCTTCCTATCAGAAATCACCGTGACCACCACCCCCGTTACTAAGCATAATACACCACCCCCGGATGCGCATTTTCCGCCGTCTGCGTCGGTCTCGGCCGCGTCGTTCTATAATCGTAGTATAAGTCTGACTGAGGATCTGTTTTCTTGGGTCCAGCATGGTAGTTGCGCGTTCTGATCTTCATGCGTCGGAACCACTCTTTGAAGAGAATCCAGCGCCAGATGAGGGGGGTTGGGGAGTTGGGCATTTCAGGTGAGTGAGGCTTTACTGCAAAGATGTGGTATCACCGAGCTTGCTTTGTTGGTACAGTGCAGAGGGGGAAGAGAAGGAGATGGCGCGGAAGTAACTGGGGGGCAATTGCAGCAGTGGTGGATGTCAGAGAGGTGATGATGTTGATGGTAGGTATGTGACGTAGGCTGCCATGACCACCCACGTGCCCGTATACTTCTTCACGCACTTCACATCGTGGCGAAGGATGTATCCGCCAGTTCAATCACGAGGTACGACAGAAGGGGGAAGTTCCGGGCAGACATTCAATTTCAGCTGAGCAAGTAACCATCTCGGTGAGATCCACCAACTCTCCTTACATGCATCTGCGCTGGTAGTATGAACAGTTCAAAACTCTTATATTAGCCCCTCATATGACGGACTAGGGGCCCTTTTGGGTATATCCTTGGTCTGCGATCCTCCCATGATAGCCACACTCAACTACGCTGTGGCATGGGTTCCTTGACGGTGATGAATATGAGGTAGGACACGAGCGGGACGGCGAGACAGAGGCCGAACAGCATGAGAATCTCGTAGAACTGGTTCATTGTGTGCGTAGGTATGCGTTTGTATGAACGAGCCCGATAAGATACTGCTTAGGCGTTGGAATTGGGGTGCAATGTGTGTGGTTTTGCGGAAAGGACAGAAGACGAGGTAGGTTTCTAATGACGCATGTAAGGTCGTTCATGTCATCACCGCTATCGCCAGCGCATCGCCCCTTCTGATGTTGCAGAGCGCTAGCCACACCATTCCTTCACAACTCACCCTCCTCCTCCTTTTTATCCCTATCTCTTCCCAGGCCAACGCTCACCCAAGACATAGCTGTACCGCCCCCTCTTCTCAATCCGTGCATCTTCGTCACACAATTCCCCTTCATCAAACCGCTCATACCGCGGTAAAGCCGAGACTTCACTACTTCTCCTCGTCACTGCTCGTGATGGCCTCTGCAACCTTATCGCACCGTCTTCCAGCCCAACTCGTGTCGACCCTTGTACCAAATCGGCGAATTCACGTTCATTATCTCGCTGGACCCGTCGTTGATGCACTTTTATGCAGACTTTATAAATGATGCGTAGGACGATCAGGCCCGCGGCGATTATGACCATAACCCATAGTGCTTTGGCGTTGGGCCAGGCGAAGTCGGAAGCTGAGGCATCGTAGTTGCTATCTGGGGTTGTCATGGCTGTGGCGATGAAGGAGGTAGTATACACGAGTTCCTAGAAGACATCGTGAATGACAAAAGGGCACATTGCACTTGAAGAAAGGTGCAGATAGTTTGAAGATATCCGAACAGCAAGCTGCTTCGCTGGCGAGAGACCGGAAGCCGTGCTGGCAAACGCGCAAACGCTGTTTAAGCGTGGGGAACGGCACCTAGCGACACATGGTCGGGACAACATCTTCACTTTTCTCGGTTCGAATAGCAAACACTATTTCCTAACTTTGCCATACAATGCATGTATCCATATCGACGTTGCGTCTCCGTGTACTAGGTCAACCCTCCTTCTCATCGGCATCCGGCTGATCCTCGTCGTGATAGTCATTGACTCTCGGTCCCTCAGGTCCTTCAAGCGATTCGTCTACTTCGCGAAATGCATCTACGAAATCTATTCGCGCCAGGACGATGTCTAGATAGAGGGAGAGAGCAAGAAAGCCTGCGATCAGCCAGGTAGAAGTGTCCGTCATGGTCAAGTCAAAGACAGTGTATTGAGATGAGTTTTGAAAACTCTTTTCGAAAGCGTAAGAAGTGAGATGACGGGGAATACAAGTGCAAAAGTAAGAAAAGAGACACAAACCCAGTACGCGGGCGACGGGGATTACTAGCCAAACGGCCATAACAGCAACCGAACTCTTATGGGCAAACACCTGAATCGGGTAAGAAACCGAGACGTCTACGTGTATTCCAAACATCCGCGATTGCGAACGGGACGCTACTTCCATCTATCCTAGTAATATACAACCGCAAGTGTAGGTACCCAGGACAATGCTCTGCACCAGCATCATCATCAATGACTGAATAGAACATGTCCACGAGAGTGCAGACCTTATTGACACTCGTGGATATATTCTATTCAGTCATTGATGATAGCGCTGATGTAGAGCAGGATGCGTAATAATACCCGGGTATGCTATTCCTTCAGTAGCATGTCATCTCCATTTTCCGTTTCCATTATCTCTTGCTATCCTTCAGATACGCGTTCCAATCAGTCTTCTCGCCCTGAACATCAACTCCCGTCACGCCATCCCCCTCAGTCCAGCCCTGCCACTTCTCCAAGCCAAACAGATGACGCATAGTAGGTCGACCATGTGGACAAGCCCACGGCTTATCCATACTACCCATGTGTCGAACAATTTCCCGCATGCGTGGCGTCTGAAGGGTCTTACCGATCATCACCGAACTTCTGCAGGCGCGGCTTGCGAGTAACTTCCTGACCTTGGAGGGGCGCGGTATATGCGACGATGTGGACATGGACGAAGACTGTGGGCTTTCTACGATGAGTGCGAGGAGTTCCTCTAGATCCGTAGGTGTAAAGGTGACTTCTTTTGACATTGGCAATGAGACCAACTGCGCATGGTCATCTGCGCCATTTTCGTCCTCGGTGTCTAGATCGACGACAAAGCCGTTCGCGGTGAGTGAGGGTTTGTTCGCGCGGATCACTTCCTTCTCCACGGCAGTCAGCTCGAGAGGGTGAGGGTGGACTAGTCGCTGTGGCACTAGCGTTGTCGTGGCAGCGAAACGCTCAAAGTTGTACTTCTCGTCACTCGCATGCTGGTCGATGATGAAGAGGTCTGATGTGGGTGATGTGGATGTAGGCGGCCGTACAGCGATGATGAAGCCAAGATTGAACTGACCAATGATGCGCATTTCATGGAAGTCGGCTTTCGTCACCGTAAGGCTGAGACGTTCTTCCGGGTCTTCCTGATTCAACTGGGTGCTTGTCGGTAGCGCAGTCGCCTCATCGGTCTCCGCAATCGACGCGTCGATGGATGCCTGCACATTTTGTAGGTGCCGAGCGATGGCACCCACATCCGTCTCGATGACACGCTCAAGGTTGATGGTCCAATACTTCTTCTGAGTAACCTTGAATAGCTTGTTGGCGCGCTTGAGGTTCATTTCGGTGGGCCGGGCTGCAGCTTCTTCAGCGTCAGCAATGAGCTGCGCAATCTTTGCTTCTTCTCTTTCTTTCTTTTCGGAATCTTCTATATACTCATCATCATCTGTGATCTCGGCTTCAGCTTCAGCTTGAGGATGTGCTTCACCATCAGATGAGGATTCCTCTTCCGGAGCTTCTTCGGAAATGATTGTTGCGCGCGGCGGTGGAGCGCTGGATGACACAGCAATATCATCCGTCCGCGGTTCCTCAAAGCCGCGGGATGGCAGGCGCTTATGCGGAGATGGAGAGCGTATAGGTGCATCAGACATATGATGATCTTGCGCGACTTCAGTCTCGTCCTCATCATCCTCCTCCTCCTCACTACTTTCAGCTTGCGTACCCGGTGCTGCAAAGCCGCTCAGACCCTTCTTGAATAAACTCCTCTTTGGCGTCTGATTCAGCGGCTTACCGGAGAGAGAAAACTTGGGTGTGTGTATCCTAGAGCGTTTGGCAGCCATCGATTGACTCCCCGTACCGATTGTGGAAACAGTCGTCGTGTCACCAACAGTTATAGTAGCCTGTTGGATTGGCGTGCGCATTGAACGCATACGATCAAAGGCGTTTTGGATGGTACTTTGTGACCAGGACTTCTGCGGTGTCTGTACTATGGCCGGGATTGGCTGTTGTTCATCGTCACCGTCATCAGTGGATTCTATATGCTTTGACAAGATGGCTGGCTCCTGCTTGTGAGGACTCTGAGATGCTATGCGGGCATTGAAATCTTGTACGATTTTCGAAGGTTGTGAAAGCCTGACCGGAACCCCTGCTGCTTCGTCTTCTGGTTCAAACAATGGTGACTGTGACCTTGAGCGCGCTAGCTCGACCTGATTCTTTATCTTTGGTGAAGGGCTGCTTGGAGGGACATGTGAATCGGACATGGGCTCTTCGGGTGACTCTCTGTTCTTGGGGGAGCTGGCTCTTCTAGGTCTTACCATTGGACGGACCGTTCGTTCTTCGGAGTCCCTGCCAGCAAATCGCTCAATGAGACTTGCCTTTACGAAGCCTGGACGGACATTCATATCGGGCGTGTCTTGAGGGGATAGCGATTCACCTCTCTTTGGAGTCCTTTGGGGAAGCTCGACAGCATCTTCCGTATCACTTCGGTCGCCTGCAAATGCTGAGGTGGTGCTTTCACGGGGTTGTATTGTTGGCGGCTTGAAGGCGGATGTGGGTGTCTTCTTGCCCAAGAGTTGAGCTTGAGGTACACTCTGATCATGGCCCTCAAATAGCTCTAGAAGAGCGTCCTTGAGGTTCTCCAATAGCGTAGTTTGGTCGTGGAGCATGATGGTCCGCTTGTCTGGACTCACATTGACATCGTAGGCATTCGTGTCCAGCTGGATGTCTGCAAACACAAAAGCCGACTGCGTGATGTTATAGGATTTGTAGACCTCATTGATGGCCTTGGCAACTTGTGGCAGAGCACAAGGCCGTGAGTTCACAAAGAACATCTGTCGGTCTTGTGTCTGGCGACCTTCACCCACAACAGGGCGGGAAATGTGACCCACTATCTTGACTGTTTTTGAACCTGTTTCCTCTTGTGTGCTCCAGTTCTTTGCGCTTTGTGTGGCACCCAGCCGGCTCGAAGGGTCCATGACGAATTCGAGGCTTAGAGGAATCAGGGCAGCAATCGTCTTTGCGCCGTAGACATTGGAGATGTTGTCTCGCGTACTCGCATTCGCGTTGGTCGAGAAAGCCACCGTCTTCTTTCTTGACTGAGTCAACACGATGGACGAGTGGATGGATATTGGATCTGCACTCACCCTTTCGGTATCTGATTGCTCACCGAGAACTTGACGCCTACGCTGATGCAAGCATATGCGTTCAGCAGCTGCAGCACTTTGTTGTACTCCCGCTTGATGTTCTTCTCCAGCTCCTTCCGCCGTACAGGTAGGTTATGAAACAGTGTCTCGACCACCACAGTCGTGCCCTGCTTGGCTGCTACCACTGACGTCCCCTTCAGCTTGCCGGACTGCTCGAACTCCAGGTTTGTACCCTTTGGGCCGTCGGAGGGCCGAGCCGTAATGATGTGAAAGTTGGATAGCGCGCATAGCGACGACAAGGCCTCGCCACGGAAGCCGAATGTCTGTAGGGACGAAAGGTCGTCGTAGGTAGCGAGTTTGGACGTGTAGTGCTTAAGCGCGATCGTTTCGTAGTCGTCTGGGGAGATGCCAGAGCCGTTGTCCTGAACTTCTATGGCGTCCAGGCCATAGTTCTTGAAGCGCACCTCTGTTCACCATCAGTCAGCCTATGTCAACCAGAAATCGTGGGGCGAAGACATACCAACTGATGTGGCGCCTGCATCGATGCTGTTCTCGACAAGCTCTTTGCAGACTGACTCCAGACCAACAATGACCTGGCCTGATTGGATCTGATGCACAGAGCGGCCCTCGATGGCCTTGATGGTGGCCATGTCAACCCATGCCGAGGTGACGTCCTGGAGACGGTTGAATGCGGACGGCGTGACTACGCGACGCGTTTCGGGCTAGCCAATGGACGTGACGCGCTAAATGTGGGGGTCAACCGGTCGTACTCCGCACTGATGAGCTTCCTGCTTCATGTTTCAGACTTCAGGATAAATAAATTGCGCCTTCGACACGTTTAAGTTTTCAAACCCCAGACTTCAATTTCCCTCGCTCTTCGCATACAAGATGAATGATCCAAATGAGCTTGAACAGCTCCAAGCGGTCGTCCGTCGGATGGCCGTGCAATCCCAATTCGAACAAGACCTGTGAGTGCCAGAAACAACTGCGTCCGCGACGTAGGCGTCGCATGTCCTAGCTATGGCAGACTTACACAACGACTCGCACCATTCATTCGAGTAGCTGACGTTCCTGCAGAATCACTAAAAAGAAGCTCGAGCTTGAGCAGACCAACAAGGCAGCACGTGCCAATGATGTCGTGTATCAGAAGTATCTACGCTACTACGCGATGAAGGACTGTCTGCGGCTCGTGAATCTGATGCATCAAAAGCTCCCCGTGGAGCTGCGCGACTTGGTGTACGAGTTCCTCTGCGTTGAACCCGATCGTCCTATCCCCGTTGGCCCATACTATCACTTCCGCAGATACGATAAGCCTTTTCACGATCCATTACAGAGGCAACATTACGACGGCTTCGTGGGACCAACCGTTTCGTTCAGGGGGGCGGCACCACCAGCTCCTTACCGCGCTATCACCGGTAACAATCCGGACGTCGATGTGAAGACGGGGAAAGCCGATGATAGCAACGATGTGCAATTGAGCCTGGAACTTACAGAGCGCATCGCGAACTTGAAGTTAATCCATCGGCTTGATAACGACGACGACGATAATACCACTGTCCTTCCTGACGGCCGAGTCAGAGAAGAACACACACACAAGCCACCAAGGGATATGCCACTTCCATCCAGCCATTTTCTGGACCCCAGATACGTTGGTGCGGAAGCTGCGTATGAGATACAGAAGATATACTACGGGCTCAACACATTTTCCATATGCAGCGTTGAACGGGCTATATACAGCTTTTCCGAAAATCACTCCGGCCACAACATAGTGGGATACGACGACGATGATGGTACCCCGTGGGAAGTACCGGAGGCCGTTCAGACAAAACCACTGCTGTACCCCAGGAACCATATCAGAAATCTCCAGGTTCGCCTCAAATTTGAGCAGTTCGACGAGTATATGCAAAGAGATCACCTCACGGAGCTTGATAAATACTCCTACGAACGACGCTTCCTACGCTTTACTGAGCAAAACTTGGAAGGTCTCGGCCAATTTCTGAGGGAGCGTTCCAAGCACGACATCACCATCGAGTTTGTCGTCATGAGTGAGCTCCCAGATTTCACAGATGATCAGTTTGGATTGGGCGCTCAATGCAACTACGTGAATTTCCTGCAATCTATCAGGAACTGGGTTTACATCATGAAGTATGACTGTGACAACATCTCTGTCAAGGTCACGCATCATGACCCACCCATGTCGGCTTTTCCGCGTGACATCACCGGGTTATTCGGCTTGACACAAAAGCAATGGGAGCAAGTAAGTATAGCAATCGCTAACGCCAGGCTAAGTGACCAACAATGAGCTAACACTGATACAGGAGAAAGCCGTTCATCAGGACGAACGCGCCTGGGTGGCGCAATTTTACCTTGCAATCCCATGGATGGATGCGAACGACATCTCGTTTGGCTATCCCGCTGTTGAAATAGACCACATGCTTCGCGAGCGATGGGGAATGGACTCGATTACAGCTACCGAGGCCACGCTTCCCATCACAGAAGGCAGATATTGGCCCAGCTCTATCAACCCGGTGCCTCTTGACCGCAGGTGGGGCTAGAGGGACTCGAGAAAAGGAAACACCCTAGAGCCTACATCAAAGCTAGATCTTCTAATCTATCTCGCTATTCCAGTGTACTCTTCAGACTTGTTCGGGGTTTCCCTTGTATAATGTGCCATCAATGCTATCGGCGCTTCTATGTTCGTAGATGACGACTACTACTGTCAGACCAGGTATGGCCTTGTCGCAGTTTGACATTGCAGCGACATTCCCTACCGCGACTTTGGGAACACTAATCTTGGTAGCATGCAATTGGTCGAATCGAAAATTATTGGGCATACTTCACAGGTGGCGTGCTGGACATGCGATGCGCAGGCTCGAACTGGATGCCGTGCTTGCGGCGCGGGCGTAGATGCCGATTGGCCGCGTGCCTGAAAACCAGGGCAGGAACTGTATGGGGCGGTCCCCGTCCCTCGATCTCGAGATCTGAGACCTACAGTGGATTTCTAAGACAACGCACGACTTAGGCTTAGTCTCCGAACAACGTCACTGCATGTGCCGGCGACACGCATGCGTCGTATGGTCGTATCCGCCGACCACAGATGCCGCGCTCTATACGGCAGCATCATCCATGGGCGTCCACTCGTCGCGCGTCCGGATGTGCTAAATCCGACTCGCCGGGCAGCGCCAGGCCTATAACGCACTAGAGTCCGAAAGTCGATGTGATTGACATGGCTCCTTTTGCAGTGGCCACCGCTCGCGCCAAGCCCTGCAATTAAACAATCAGAGATCCTCTTTTCGGCTTCGTCCTCGCGCGGGAATATAATACGGCGTCGATTGACTCCCTTTGGCTTCCCTACGTCCTCCCCTCCGCGACCCTCGCGCCTCCCCCCGTACACAACACAGCGCGGCGCGATCCTAATTTCTTCGACATGGCGGTCAACGCGAGTTTTGTCTCGCCGACGGCGGACGCAAAAGTTGCGCATGTCCTCCAGCAATTCGATACCAGCGGTCTCCTATCCTCCGTCTTCTCCGGCTTCAATGCCTGGAAGCTCGCTCTGACGCTCATCATAACGGCGGTGGCGTACGACCAGTGTAGGCATTGCATATGTTCCGTTTGCGCCGGACATTGCTGACACTCGCGCAGTCAAATACATCTGGAACAAGGGCTCAATCGTCGGTCCCTCGTGGAAGATACCCTTCATCGGTCCATTCCTCGAGTCTGTCAACCCCGATTTCAAGAAGTACCACGAAAAATGGATGTCCGGTCCTCTCAGCTGCGTATCCGTCTTCCACAAGTATGCCACCCTGTCACCTACCCTCAGTCTGTGCCTATGCTGACCGCTCCTAGGTTCGTCGTCATTGCCTCCACCCGCGACATGGCCCGCAAGATCTTCAACTCCCCCGCCTTCGTTAAGCCCTGCGTCGTCGATGTCGCGCAGAAACTCCTCCGCCCCGAGAACTGGGTCTTCCTGGACGGCCGTGCCCACGTCGACTACCGCAAAGGTCTCAACAGCTTGTTTACTCGTCAAGCGCTCGAACAGTACCTACCGGGCCAGGAGGAAGTCTACAACACATACTTCAAGCGCTTTGTGGAGCTTTCGCAAGTAGAGAACAAGGGCAAGCACATTCCCTGGATGCAAGAGTTCCGCCTCATGATCACTGCGTTGAGCTGCCGTACCTTCGTCGGTCACTACACCTCTGACGAGGCCGTCAAGAAGATCGCCGACGACTACTACCTGATCACCGCTGCGCTCGAGCTTGTCAACTTCCCTATCATTATCCCCTTCACCAAGACCTGGTACGGAAAGAAGTGCGCCGACATGGTCCTGGATGAGTTCTCCAAGTGTGCCGCAAAGAGCAAGGTCCGCATGGCTGCTGGAGGCAAGAAGGAGTGCATTCTCGACTTCTGGGTAGACAACATGATCGAGTCTGAGAAGTACCGCAAGAGGGTTGAAGCTGGCGAGAAGGTCGATGACGCCGAGAAGCCCGCGACTGTCATCCGCTGGTTCAGCGACCTTGAGATCTCCATGACCATCTTCACCTTCCTCTTCGCTTCCCAAGACGCTACCTCTTCTGCCGCCACATGGCTCTTCCAGATCATGGCTGACCGCCCCGAGTACCTCGAGAAGATCCGCGAGGAGAACATCAAGGCCAGAAATGGCGATGTGCACGGTACTCTTTCGCTTGACGCCATCGAGAAGTTGCAATGGACCCGCGCTGTCGTCAAGGAGACTCTCCGCTACCGTCCCCCAGTCATCATGGTTCCTTACTTGGCTAAGAAGGACTTCCCTGTAACACCTGAATACACCGTTCCCAAGGGCTCCATGGTCATTCCTACAACCTACCCGGCACTTCACGACCCTGAAGCATACCCCAACCCAGACTCGTTCGAGCCTGAGCGATGGATCACCGGTAACGCTGATCAACAAACCAAGAACTGGCTTGTATTCGGCACAGGTCCCCACTACTGCCTGGGCCAGACATACGCGCAAGCCAACCTCATGTTGATGATTGGCAAGGCGAGTATGTTGCTTGACTGGGACCATAAGGTCACCGACCAGAGCGAGGTGATCAAGGTGTTTGCCACTATTTTCCCTATGGTAAGTCGTATTGCGCACCATCCACATCTCTTCAGATCATTCGCTAACCTTCTATAGGATGACTGCCTTCTTACATTCAAGGACCGAACAGCGGCATAAACAGTCAATGTTCTTTTCAGCTACGTGATGCGCACATTGAGCGATCTTTCTTGCATTTGCATCCGTAGATTTCTGTGTTGAAAATTTGGTTCGTCCAAGGCAGAGGTACACTTGTACTCTGGTCTTGCATCTTTAGACATTAATGATTACGGCCCTTGGCGCTTCTTGAGAAGTAGCCCGTTGGCTTCATGAGTACAGTGTAAGCTGGGATGAATTAATACTGGGACGAGGAGGGAATAAGCTGGGGAGGGGACGACCTTATATAGGACAGCGATAATGGCATGGAGAATGTATGAAGTCAAGAACAATCCTCGCGTGCTTTTGCAAAACGTGCTGGGTGGATTGCAAGCTCAGTGGTCCACATGTCTACCGCGGGCAGGAACTAGAGCTATGACCATGACCCTTGAAGTCCACTCCACATGCCGATTGTCTTTCGTGTTTCCACCGCCTGCT